CGGGCTTAAGCCATCAGAAGACTGGGATCCCGAGACCTCCGCCCCGTTTCACACTCCTCCGGGCACCCAGATAACACCAGATATCGATCTGGTGATGGTCGCCACACTCGCCCAGTGCTTAGCACCTCACCGGTGCCGGCACCTCACCCAGTGCTGGGTCTAGGGCTTCCAGGCATACAGCTGCAGTGTGTGCTTGGTGACTCAGACTTTGTCATTAACTGCGTTCTCTTTACAATGTTTAAAGCAACATAAGAGAATGAACCTGGAAAATTGGCAGTCCATTTCTAGCTCATCAGTTATCAATCCCACACTCCAGCAGTAATCTAGGAAGCAGAAATACTCATGAGCCTAGGCATTTCTGGGTCTCTAGAAAGAAAGCTCTCTTTGTATCCAAAGGCAGTCAGCACTGCACAATCTTTGGCTTTCTTTTTTGGAAATTACTGTATCTTAGTTATCTATGAATAGATGATACATGAACTATTCCTGGTATTGTTATATCACTCCATATGTCAATAAAGAAGCAGTAAGATAGAAATTACCTGAAAAATTAATCCTGAAACACCCTGGAAGGGAGCTGGGTAGCAGGAGACTTTTTCTGGATATAGTAGGCAAGAAATGGGAGTGGTGGAGAAGCACGTGGCCAGCTCTTCCACCCTACAAATTTTTAACTCCAGCAGAACAGAACTGCTTGTTTTTAAGAAGAAAATGTTGAAGTATCTTGCTGTTTGAAAAATTTAATATTTTCCAGTAATGCTCCAGTTTCGACATGTGAAGAAATGAAATTACTTTACATGGATAATAAACCTCCATCCTAAGTAAATTACTTTGTCTTCTGTGAAGCAAAGCCTTTCAGGGTATAAGGGACCTCTTGATGCTTTATATTGTTTATAATAATCTTCTCATTTAGAAAATGTACAGCTGTGACCTGAGAAGGGAATAAACACTTAGCACCAGGCTCTGGAGTGCTTTTCATAGTTGGATGTTTACTACTTGCAGTTTTTTGTCTGCTTTTACAAGCAGTTTATAGTTTGGGTTTTATGACATTGTGAGAAATTAACTGAGACCAAGCACAGATAACAAATTTTTATAGTAATATTTTTTATTTGAAGACTTCATATCCAAGATTTTAAATCCTGTTTTTCCACAGGCTTAAAGAACTTTTACATTTGCATTGTCTTCTCCCTGCGTGCCCCCATGGACCACCCCTGCCCAGCCACCCAGGGCTCCCTCCACCCTGCCCAGGGCACAAGACACCATGTCAGGAGAAGACAGCCCCTGCCCCAGTAACACCACAGCAGGGCAAGTCTCCAACTCCCCATAGTACCGTTTTGGCTAGCCATGGGACCCACCGAGCCAGACTGACCCACAGACCCATGACCCTCCCTGTCCCCAGGAAGGTGCTCGATGCCTGGGGCTGCCCTGGTGTCCCCTGGCTGCCCTGCTGCTGCCTGGGGATGAGACAGGTCCTGGCTGCCAGGCTCTGCCCTGACCCACCATGGAGAGCACCCACTTCCACTCTAGAGATGATTTATGTTGAGAGATGTTTTGTGCTACTCAGTATTATTTATAGCTAGAGGGAAATAACTGTCAACAAACAGATTTTATGCACTTGTTGGATTCCAAAACACCAGTGGACTCTGTACAACAGAAAATTTAACCGGCTAACTACTTGTTCAGACTGTATGAAATCGTGAGTTGTGCAATTACATTAAGTTGGTAAGAAAGAGGAGGGAAGTGATGAACATTGTGTCTTGCAACACTTCCGATGAGCCGACAGTCACCGGAACAGAAGTGGCAAGGGAGACAGCCCTATTTATAGCTATATGACCATTTAAAATACAAGTCTTTCCATCATCTCTTTATCCTGAAGACTGTGACAGAAAGATAAACAAATTAAAGGTGTTTTGAACTAGAAGGTAAGTCCATCTTTGTCTTTCTGACTGTTTTGTTTGCTGAGGTATTCAATGAGACTCTAGGATGTCCAGGGCTGGAGGGGGGATATCCCAAGCAAAATCTAAAAAGCTGTCAGAGGAATACATGGAGCTAACCTGAATGAGATTTTTTTGTAAAAGTACCTAATGCCTGCTAAGAAAAATCCCAGCCACACTTTTTATTTTCTTATAAGGTATTTTACTGAATTTGTAGAAGTTAGACACAACTCCTAGATCCTCTTTTAACCATATACTCAAAACGTCCTTGAAAGTACATGAAATAACACCCTCACCAAACTTATTTACCACTGGGTAACTCAAGGTGATTGGTATTGTTGTGACCCATTTTGGTATTTGTAGCTGTTTACCCACCTGCTTAGTGTCTATTCATCCTAACCTTTGTATATAGAAGACAGATAAATAATCTTTAGACTTTAAGATAGTAGTCAACAAATGTATGTATGTAACATAAAGTAATCCCAAGCTGACCAGCTTTATGTATCATCACATAAATCGTTTTGTTACAGAAAAGGACAACTTCTTTAACTTTGTTATTGATTATTTGAACATTTCTCTCACTGCTTGAGAAGTCTGTCTAATCTCTCCTCCCACCAGAACTGAGAGATGGTTGGATGGTGTAGAAGCAGGAATAGGAGTGAGTCAGCCTACGCAAATGTAGGGGAGAGCTGGTCACACTAGCATCTTTTAACTTGAGCAAGTTTTACTATTCTCTGTCTCTAAGGAGGAAGACATGGTTACTCCTATTGCACTCATCTTCATGACCCAGTGGATGCTGCTCATCACCCAGTTGTGTGTTGGCTGGCACTGCACAGACTGTGAGTAAAACACTTCCATGGGGCAGTCCTCTGAGGTGGAGTATAACGTGTTCTGCATGCACGGTTTTGCTTAAGTTACCTTCTATCTCAGATGTGCTAGGTAGTAATATCTGCACCCAAAAATCTGGGAGTCTGTCCTTACTGATCCTGTTATGTGACATTTGCAGCGGAGATATTGGACTCACCCATTAGAAATTTGAGGCTGAATCAGTGGAAAATGGAACTGAGTTGGATGAGCAGCATGAATTTCACTGAGAGCAATTGTTCAGTGACTGCAGGAGATTTTACTGTGACTGTAAAGGTAAATTTACTATGTAAACTTTTAACATAAATAAATTATTACACTTCCTCCTTCCTTCATATCCATAAGTAACTGAAAAAAAAAGCAACCTTGGTAGGAACAAGATAGTTGCATATATCTCACAGTCTATCTTACCTCTATATCACAAGATAGACTGTTTTAGCAGTCACTTCTGTTTTTTTTTTTTTTTGGGGGGGGTTCATCTTGATGTTGAAACATATCTGCCCTCTCTGGCTATTCTTGTGGAATTCCTGCCTTCAGAGGACTCTTCTGGAATCAGGGTCTTGATGGGCCTGAGTGTAAGAAAATCTTGTTTCCTGGTTTCAGAGGAACTTTGGTGAGAGGCATCTCATGCTGTGCACATGAGAATTTTAAGTCAGTCCTTACTGACTTGCCTAACACCAAGACATAATCATTCAGGGACACTGGAGATACAGTGATGTGCTTGCTCAGGGCTGATCAGTGTAATACAGAAGCTTGTGAAGACAGAGCATTTCTAGAGTGGCTCTTGAGGACCAAGCAGGTTCACACAATCATAGAATGACTTCAGTTGGAAGGGAACATCAAAAGATCTAGTTCAACATTTTTGATATGAGTAGGGACATATTCCACTAGGGCAGGTTACTCAAAGTCTCATCAAACCTGACCATGAACATTTCAAATGAAGAGGCATCCACAACTTCTCTGGGCAACCTGTTCTAGTGTCCCACCATCCTCACCATAAAAAAAAAAAAAAAAAAATTTTCATTATGTCCAGCCTAGATCTACCCTCTTCCCATTTAAAACCATTGACCCTTGTTCTGTCATTACAAGACCATGGTAAAATGTCTTTCTCCATCTTTCTTATAAGCCCTCTTTATGTATTGAAAGGCAACAATAAGGTCTCCTTAGAGCCTGCTCTTCTTCAGACTGAATAACTCTGACTTTCTCAGTCTTTCTATAGAGGAGAGGTGTTCCAGGCCTCACATCATCCTTGTGGTCTTCCTCTGGAACTACTCTACCAGGTCTGTGTCTTTTCTGTGCTGGGGACTCTGGAGCTGGATACAGTACTCTAAGTGAGGTCTCACCAGACTGGAATAGAGGGGGAGAATTACCTCCCTCAACCTGCTGGCCATGGTTCTTTTGATGCAGCCCAGGATCTGGTTTGCTTTCTGGTCTATGAGTGCACATTGGTGGCTCATGTCCAGTTTTTCATCCACCAATATGATTAAATCCTTTTCCACAGGGCTGCTCTCAAACCCCCAGTTTGTTTTAAGACTTGGGATTGCCCTGACCCAGGTGCAGGACCTTGCACTCAGTTTTGTCAAGCTTCATGAGGTTTGCATGTGCCTGCTCCTCGGGGCTGTCTAGGTCACTCTGGATGGCATCCCTTTGAGTCACCCACAAACTTGCTGAGTGTGCACTCAATCCCATTCACTATGTCATTAATGAGGATATTGTGTTTGTCCCAGTATGGACCCTTGAAGGACACTACTCGTTACTGGTTCCACTTGGACATTGAGTCATTGACTCCAATAAGTCTTTGGATAGGCCCATCTAACCAATTCCCTATCATCTAAGAGTCCACCTGTCAAACCTATACCTCTCCATTTCAGAGACAAGGATGTGGGGAGATCATGGTAAAGGTCTTACAGAAATCTAGGTAGATGACATCTGTTGCTTTCCCCTTTTTAACTGATGAAGTCACTCCGTTTTAGAGGAGCGCTCGCTTACTCAGGCTCTATTTACCCTAGGTGATGCCGTGTTGGCTGTCTCTAATCACATCCCTGTCGCCTAGATGCTCCAGGATAACTTCCAGAAGGATCTGTTTCATGACTTTATCAGGCATGGAAGTAAGGCTGACTGGCTGGTAGTTCCCAGGATCCTCCTTATGACCCTTTTAAAAAATGGGTGTGATGCTCACTTTTCACCGGTCACCTGTACTTTGCCTGGTCTGACCTTTTAAATATGATGGAGAGTGGCTTGGCAACTACATCAGCCAATTCCCTCAGGGCCCTGGGTGCATCTCGTAGGGTCCCATGGACTTCTGTATGCTCTGGTTCTTCAAGTGGTGTCAAACCTGATCCTCCCTTATGATGGGAGGGACTTCATTCCCCTAGTCCCTGCCTTGAGATTCAGGGACTTCAGAGGTGTGGGAAGAGAGGTTGCCAGTGAACACGGAGGCACATCTCAGCCTTCTCTCTCTGTTTTAACTGTTTCTCCTGCATTATTTGCCAGGAGCAGTATACTCTTTCCTCTTTCTTTTCTGAGCAATGTACCTGTAGAAGCCCTTATTACTGTTTTTCACATTCCTGCCAAATTCAGCACCAGGTCAGATCCAAATTTTTTACAGCAGACAAGATCTAGAATTCCAATCTCATGTAACTGATTGTGTAGAAAAACTTAGAGTCATAACTTTATGAAAAAGCATCTTCTGCTTCAGATTTTAGTCTGCTTTCAATGCTTACGCAGAGGAGAGAGTGCAATCAGCATTTCCTATTTTGCAACTACCATGTTTAAGTCTTGTTAAACTAACTTTTAAAGCTAGTTTTCTCTTTCACTGGACTCTACAAGCTGCACAGATGGCTCACGGTAAGTCGTGAAGTTGTCCTCTTGGGATTTTTCTCTTCCCATGTACTACTAGTAGTACTGTATGTACTACTCCTGTCTTAGTTAAAGTTCTCTTCCTCTAAAGCTCAAAGCTGTCTCCATCCATTTGGCCAATATTTCTTGTGCATCTGATTAGGTAGGCAATCTCCAGAATAAAGTTATTTCATGATCAGGAACTGTAAAAGGAAGATATTGGCTTTGACATTCTATTTTGTGTGACTAGAGAGGGAGCATTTTAGGCTACACTACTGTACCAAGCAAGATGTATACCCCATCTATGATAAACAGTAATGTTTCTATGGGCAGTTTCTAGAAAATTCTGACTTTTGGGCTCTCCTCTGGTACTCCATGCAGTTGCATCCCCTGTACCAGTAAATACAGATTTGTGTAGATTCATGTCACCCTCATTTCAACAATCTAAGCACTGAAATTAGAGTCTTCTAAGGACAGGAGCTACTAGAGAGATACAAACCCTGCCTGGAAGGAGTGTATCCTGTGCACCTTATATGCCACTGTCTGTCTCTTCTTTTACTGCTGCATAGACAAGGCACCTCTATAACTCGCCTAAATTAAGTGCTAGTGTTTAGAAAGTTGGCACTAGTGGAGATCAACCTCAAGCCAGCTCCTTGCCCAGGCAGTCATTTTTGGGGTGTCTCCCTTTGTCTTTCAAAGAAGTGTAAAGCACATTACAGGCATTTGTTGATCCTTCAGAAAACACATGCTCTGTTTTGAGGTGTTTCCACCGATTTGGTGGACTAAGGGTAGAAGGAGGGAAGGAACTACTATTCCTAATGCTCTCATGAGTTTTTCTGGAGGGAAGCACTGGATTCTTTGCCTTGCACTGGTAAAAGTTCATTACCCAAAATTTCTGGAGAGAGAGTTCTCAAGCCTGGGAAGACATCAGTCTAGTTCTTTATTGTAGTGATCTCACTGTTACAAATGAGCACAAGCTTGAGCTTTTTCTACAGGGCGTAGCACTGTGTGAACTAATAGATGGGAAAAAAAAGTAAACCTTCTGCATGATATTTTTCAGGCAAGGAATATGAAGTGCAAGTTTGGAAATATAATGCCTCCCCTGCACAATGGGGCAAACCTTTCTGTTACAGCAGTGAACATGAACGGCACATGCACAAGCATATACAGATACATTCCTCAAGGTAATAGGCTAGAGTTTGGGAAAGGATTTGCCTACTTCCAGTGGCTTGGGGGTAAAAGAAAAACTGAAACCTTTCATTCTGTAATTAATTTCCTGTACAATAGCAACAATACAGCCTTGTGGCAATGTTTCTGTGGGAAAAAAAAAAAGAGTTCCCTACAACTAGTTCAGTAGTTCTTTAGTCCTCAGTTTCTTAGTGTTTTGTTTTCAGTTGACAATTCTCTTTTAATTGTTTATGCTAATACTTTGACTTCATTTGAATGTCTTTAAAAAGTTATTAAAAATTCAGGTGAAACAGGTTTGTAGCTGTAGTTTTAAAATTCTTTCTTGAGAATTCTGTGACACTTTGAAATTTTGTCATAATGTAACTTGTGTAATGCCCAACATTTTGCAGTGTCCCATCCACAATAATGTAAAATCTCAAAGGATTTGGTCCTTTTTTTTATCAAAGGGATAATATATATGAAACTATTGAGAGAATAAGATAGAAGATCTGTAAATTTAAGCAGCATGGAGTTGGCATATACAAAATGGCACTACTTCCTGCCTCATCAAACTCAAAGCATTTGCTTATTCCTTACAAAAGGATGGATAAGTCACCTATCTTTCTAAAAGGCATGTTTAGTCTTCCTATTGGGTTTTATTAAGGGTAGGGGTTAAGGAGTAAATTCATATGGTTGTAATCAGGAGAAGATTCCTGATGTGAATCCCAGGTGGAGGAATGTAGCACTTCAGAGCACAAACACCTCACAAGTTCGCATCTACACTTCTGAAGTCTTGAAAAACTTCACTGTTCTACACCTGGGGATTTTTCTTCGTCTCCTGATCTTCTAACATTACTACCTAAATTGAAGCAAGTCCTTCCCAAACCAAGCCATAACCAGCTGGAGTTGCAGATGTCTAACATATCTGAGCATGTGCCATGATGCTGCAGCTTGCAGCAGTCACACCATTTTCCCTCATCACAGCTCTTCCTGTGCTTGCAGGCGTGAGTGGGTCGGCCATTGAAAACTTCTCCTGTGTGATTTACAACGTTTCCCTCATGAACTGCACTTGGCAGGCAGGCAGGGATGCTCCAGGAGACACCCAATATTTTCTCTACTGGCAGAACCCGAGGTAAGTGGGTCTGCTTCAGTCTGGGCAAGTCTGAATTCCCACCTGACACATCACACTGACCACCTTTAACTAGAATACCTTGTTATATACAGACATGATGATACAATGGAATGTGAGCTTTACATTAAAGATGAAAATGGCAGGAACATGGGATGTAGATTCCAAAATGTGAAGATTGAGCCTGAAAAAGCTTACTTCCTGGTGAATGGGTCTAGCAAACACTCCCTGATCCGGTTCTATGACGAGTACATTTGGCTGTATAAAATTGGTAAGTAAATATTTTTTTTTCCTGCTTTATTTTCATTATTGCATAAGAGTCGTAAGAGAATTCCTCCTTGAGAAGGAACCAAGTACCCTCTTATCTAGAGTTGAAAGTAAGACTGTACCCTCTTCCAGAAAATCTATTCTCCAAGCAAAAAGCAATGAAGGAAATTAAGCAAGAAGGCTCCATAGCTGCACTCTGCCTCACATTCTTTAGCAATCTACCCTTATTGGCTTTAGGACAGCAAGATCCACAGTACTTGAGATTGTATCTACCCTTATTAGCTTTAGGCCAGCAAGATCCACAGTACTTGAGATTGTACTTACACACCACACATAGACACACACACCCACGCCACCACTATCCTTTCAAGGATGGCCAAATACCTTTCAGCAAAGACTTTCCAGGAGTAATTTTTTTGAGCACTGATTTTTTCTCAGTGCCAGTGGGGATGATGTACACCAACACTACACCCTTGATTAAATAATTTAATATATGTATAAGGTACCCTAGGTTTTCATATGCTTTTTTGCATGTTGTGCTTTGTTTGGTAGCATCATATGCAGTTACTTGTACTGTGGCAAAGCCTTTTTGGCCAAGTCCCACTGGTTTTGTTATTGCCTCTAAGAAATGAACAAATAAGGTTTCATTTTGTAAGAAGGGATTGAGCTGTTCTGTCACTCATGGGAGATGAAATAAGACTGTTTTTTGACGAAATAGCCCATCACTAATAGGCCAGGCCTGTCCTGATGTAAAGTAGCAGTCTAGCTGGAAATAAGGTTTCCTCTATCAGCCATTTATCACCCTTTCTGTCATGATTACTGTAATAGCAAAAGACAGTCAAGTCTTTGGCAATAATAAAAATAAAAAGGTCCTTATATGTTTGCTGACATCTGTGAAATTAGGGGAAATATATGAAGAAGTTGGCTAGATTCTTAAAACTGAAATATCACTCTGAAATTTGTATGGCTAACTTTTTGGAATGAGGGAATAAAATGGTTTCACAAAACCACTCAGGCAACACCATCATGTAACAGAAACATCATGTGAGGACACTTGAAGAAAGAAATGACCTTTGGATTTCCTGCATTAGAGTTAGCATCAGCTTGTTCTTCTGCAAGGGGAGAAAAAAAACAAACAAACAAACAAACAAACAAACAAAAAAATATAAAAAGAAGACAGAACTCCACTTTACCAATCTAGAAAACTAAATGGAGGGGGCTTGTCATTTTGTATGCTGCTAAGTCATGTTCCCTGGGTTAGTCCTTGTTTTTTTCTGATCCTGGGCACAAGATATGAAGAACTTTGGTCTTCTATTATTTCTAACTTATTTCTAACCTAAAAATAAACAATAAAAGAGAATCTTTCTTTATGGAGGTGTTATTTGCTGTTACACTCTTATCAAAACAAAATGAGATGAAGTGTTTTTAAGTATTTGAATTCTTGGTTATATCATTTCAGAAAAACTCATGCCTCCATCAAATATCACTGTCAACTGTGATGAAATTAAACATGATTGCATAATCCAATGGCAAAGACCCCAAATAGGTCATTCTAACATAGACAAGTGTTTTAAATACCAAATCAACATAAAATATAAGGTAAGAAGAATCTCTTTGCTACATTTAACATTAATACATATGTTTGCTTTTACCAATTTGCATGGATAAAAAGAAAATCAACCCCTATTGTATGGTGTAGTCTTCCTCATGTAGCTCCTCTGTAGTTGTGCCTTTCAGGCACCATGTTATGCCTTACTGCCCCAGATTTTTGTCCCTGTTCCCCTGTGTGAGATACTGCTGAAGATACACTGGATGACTGTGACTGTCTGAGACCAAAAGAAGCATAGTTAATCAAGACTTGAACAGATCACAACTTTCTGTGTGACAAAACTCAGAAAAGGTACATCTTTCACTGGAACTTGTTGGAGCTGTCCTGGACTGGAGTTCTTCCAGTGGTAACTGCATATAACTGAAAGGGCAGAGCTAGGCTGCAAATAAGTGTGTAAGTTAGTGTGTATCCACTTAAGTATGAGTTGATGGAAATGAATGAAGTTTCTCTATATTTGAAATGTAAATATCTTATCCAAATATCATATATAAACAACTCACCTGTTGCTCCAAAAGTTGAAGCTGTATGGTGTTAAACAAAAAGAAAACAAATATGAGAGAAAGTAGAAAGGCAGGGTGGATAAGCACAGGTTACTGAGGGAGTGATTTAAACTACTGAAAGTCAAATTCAGACCTTGGCTTTACCAGTCTTTTTGCAGCAATAAGGAAAGCAGGAGATTGCTGTGTTCTGCTGCGAGAGGAGTTGATCTGTCACTGTGCCAGAATTGCGGCAAACCACCACAGGGTGGCAGATAGTCACCACAAAGGGATAATCGGCCTGTGCTACAATCAGATTTGGCCACTTAGTGGCTGATTGAAGGCATTCTTCTGCTATTTGGACTTGCTATTGAAAGACTTCGGCTATTTGGAACTTCTTAGTCTGGATCGGACTTGCTATTACACACATGGGGTTCCTTGCAAGCTCAACTAGCAGCTATGAAGCTGCATTACTTCTCCAAATCCCTTGGCCATTGCAGCAAAGAGAGAGCTAACAGAAAACTGTGATGTTGGAATTGCAGTAAAGCAATACATACTTCTCAACTTCTTTTAATATGCCTAATATTCAGTTTATAAAGAATATTTAATTTGCATGTAGTCTGAACTGCCTAGAATTTTTTTTTGAATAATCATTAACAGTTTTCATGTTACTAATTATGTTGAGCTCCAGTAATTACTGTACTGCAAAATTTATTGCTTTACCACTGCCAGGTTTTACTATACACTGTTTTACTGTATGCTATGACCAATATATATCGTACTACAGTCAGCCTTTAAACTTTATTTCCACAATTGACAATTGCTTCCATTGGAAGCAAACAAAAAAAAAAAAAAAAAAAAAAAAGAAAACACCATGAATAATATAATTTCAATCACATTTTTTGTTTTACACTGATAATCTGAATTTGCAGTCTCTTTTAAAGATAAGGCTTTATAGGTCAGGATATCTGGAAAACCTGAAGACAAATCTTATCAGTGAAAACTGAGCTAAAAAGGTACCAAATACCTCAGCCTTTCCAATGCCCATTGTCACCAGATTCCCCCATCTCAGTGAACAACAAGCCTGCGTTCTCCTTAACCTCACTTTTGCTGCCAGTGTACTCATAAAAACCTTTCTCATGTTCACCTCCACCCCTAGTCTGAACTCCAGCTGAGTTTTCACTTTTCTGACTCCATTCCTGCATGTGCAGATGATGTCTTTGTATTCTTTCTAAATCCCTTCTGTCTTACTTTGTCATACTTCCTTTTTGTCTCTGAGGTCAGAGTCAAGTTTCATGTGCTGCCATGCTCACCTGGAATGTATGCTTAACTTTCTGTTCACCAGAATGGACCATTTTGTGCTCTGAGGAGGCTGTCCTTGTAGATCAGCCAGCAATTTTGCCCTCCAAGACAGTTTCCCTTGAGTACCAAGGCCTGTGGCTGTGACATTTTCTGAAGCTGCCTGAAGAGGGTCTCATCTGCTTGCCATTCTTGATCGGGAGATCTGGAACAAACACCTACTACATTGTCACCTATGCTAGTCTGCCCTCTGAATCCTGCTTAGAAGTTCTCTTACTGCTTCATCATTTGTCCCAAGACAGAGCTCTCTATGTATTCTAGGCACTCCTTTATATAGAGCACAAGGACCAGGTTAGCAAGCTTGTTTGTAAGGACACTCTCACCGTAATCGGTGAGATTCATCCCATACCTGCTCAGTAGCCCCCATTTCTTGAGGGGGGAGGGGGAGAAGGAAGGGCTCTTTTCTCCTCTCTCAGGGCTATAAAAGCCAAAGTTCTGCCTGTGACACCAGCCACTCAGACAGGTGGTGACCTGTTGTATGAGTGCAATTCTGCTCAAGCCTTTCCCTCTTACTGCAAGGACTGAGGAGACACCATCTGGGCTTCCTGCCTTTCATCATCCCCCCACTGCTTTGCAACCACCCTTGATACCACACCCAGTTCCCCATGGCCATAACATTGGTACCCACACAGAAAGGCAGGAAAGAGTAATAATTTGATGGCCAGGCAAATCTGGCAGTCCTGTAGCATCCTGGATCCTGGCACCTGATAAGCAACAGACCTCCCTCAGCTCAGGGTTAGTGCTGCCATCCCTTACAAGAGGGAATCTTTTAACTATCATACACATTTTCCCCTTCACACTTCTTTTAAATGCAGTGCACTTTAATACATCTCTTCTTCCAAAATTTTCGAAAGACCAGCTGTTCTTCTGGAATTCCCCTTCCTGAAATCTTCCATGACCTCATTGTTTTAATTTCTCCTACATTATTTTAGTGTAAACACAAAAAAAAATAGGGAGACTATATTGTTGCATTTTCTCCTAGATTGATCCATGTGCTTAAGCTGGTTTGTTTAAGGATTCTAGAAGCTGTCCTGCCCAGCAGCATACCGTGCAAACTCATGTTCAGGTGCCACAGGAGCGTGCGTACAGTTATTGGATAAAACAAGTTTGCATTAATTTCACTTTGTTCTAAAACAGAGTAATACAGAACACAAAATAGTTTGAAAAATGCATAACTGGCAGGCTAATGCAGATCGTATAGTCTGCAGTTATTAGTTGCATGTGGTCACTCTATGTGGTAGTCATCATGGCTATTCAGAAGAGAGGAGTTAATTTTGTCTGTCAAAAATGTAGTTGGAGGGCAGTATAAAAGTATAAAATATCTGTGAATTCACGTCAATTCTGAATATTGTCATCTGGGGGAAACAATATTTACATAGTATTTTGAATTAAATGTAGTGGCATTTATTGTAAAATAGAAACTGTAAACTAAAAAGTTTATTTCACAGATTTTTTTTTTCCTCATGTGTGTAAGAACAAAATTACAGTTTTCATTCAGGTCTAGTTTGTTTGTGTTTAAGTTTAATCACCAATCTTAAATAAAATCTATTTCTCAACTCTGGTGGAAAGGAAAATAAATTACTTACTATATAAACTTGGCACTGTAGGTGAATTATATATTAGATACTGTGTTAAACTCTAAATTCTAAACAAACTGTCAAGTACATAAGAAGAACTAATGCAGAGAAAGAAGACAGTAGATAAAACTGACATTATTCTTGTTTTGTGTTTTGATATTTTTTTTTTCTCAATTTACAGGATAATCCTGAAGGAAAACGTATATATAATTATACAAAAGTAAGTCTGCTGGTTCTATTAATCAGTAATATGTGTTAGTGTTATAGTAATTTTTGGGAAGTAAATAGTATGAAAATGCCTTTAAATCAGTCTATGCTCAATATCCCATGGTTTATGGAATCCATATTTATAAATTTCATTAATGTGTCAGACCTCTAAATTATCATGACATATGTCATTTATTATACATTCAAGGGCAGAACTTTAGTAACGTTCTATAAGCATTTTGGAAAACCTTCCATTTCACATTTTATTGTCCACTCTCCCCCTTAAATATTTGGAACAGAATTTGAAGTTACACATCAGTGACAGCACAGAAGAGAGACACACAGACAACACCTCCTAGGAATTTAATTTTGTTTAAGAAATACAAAAAGCACTAAAGCACTTTGAGATGGAGACTGTCCTTCAGATATGCTGCTTTGTCTTCTAATCAGTGCAGCTTGCCTATCCCACCTCTGTCTTGAAAGCCTCCAAGAGCAAGCATGTTCAGGAAATTCTAGTTGTGCTAAGTATTGCAGTCTTCTGCTTATTTTACAGGTTTTGTTGGAAAGTTATGCTTGCCATGAAAAGTCATAATGCAAATACTGAGGAAGGTGAGGTGCATGCAGTCAGTTTATTCCTCAAATCACTTAATTCTAGCAGTATTAGAATGAGACAGTTCAAGGCATTTTTCTTCCTCCGTCAATGTGCCAAGGGGGATTATCAATAAATCAGACTATAGCATACAAAATTACAGGAACTAGTGTAAAAGGCAAAAAGCTTCTAAGCTGAAAAAGCTTAAAAAGCAGTAGGATATATTTGAGTTACACATAAATGTACATGTTACATACATAATGGAAATGAATACATTTATTTTTTGCTCTGGAACAGCAGTCCACTTGGACAAGCAGTGCTCTAATAGCCTCATAAAAGTTTTCTTGGTAAATGGCACTGGCATATTATCAACACCTAGACATGCAACAAAGAAAAACAACTCAATTTTGCTGTGTTTTTAGGACAAGGAGAATAGCTACACGTTTCCAAGACCCAATATGAGAAACAAGTACTTACTGAAAATGAGAGCAGCTGGCAGTTCCTGCCTTGTAAGCAAAGCCTGGGGGGAGTGGAGTGCACCTGTTGAGTTTGGTAAGATCAAATCTGTGCCTTGGGCTGCTCTTCTCAGCTGTGTCCTGTCTACATCACACACTGCCGCGCACCGACCTACACAAAAATGTATAAAGGCTTGGCAAAGGTTTTGTTTCTCTTTGAATTACTGAGAAGAAAGAGTATTAATACATCTCTTAGCACCCTTAAGATTGGAAATCAATATAAAAAGTCGCATATTTGCAACTGAAGTGCATACCTGCTTACTGCAGGGGATGGACAAATAGGCTCAAGGCCACTCCTTCCCAGCTGACATTACTGCTAAGGTGCTAAGTTAAAGAGTTGATTTTTATTTAAAAAGAACCCTTTCAGACTGAGGTCAGCAGTCAGACACCAGAGGAGGTGTCTGACACAGCTGTGCATCTGTTCCTCTTTGCTAACAACCATACTTTGCCGCTGTTTCTCTTTCAGGAAATGAAGCTGTTATTTCTTCTTCGATGTGGATTTTACTCGTGGTAGCATTTGTGACAGTCCTGGTGACAATCATTGCAATTTTGTTCTGCAAAAGGTAAACTTAATTTATGTATTTCTTCTATATGGGTGTGTGAAACATCTGCAGCTCTCAAATAAGGTAGAGATATCTTTGTAGTATAGATAAAACCTTTTCACTTTTTAGTGAGGTAGAAATCATTCCAGATGAGTGATCCTGAGACAAGTACTACAATAGTGAGGTCCAAGATTCCACCCTAGCTGGTCCACACCACTTTTTCCAGGTCCTCTGCTGTCGAGAGGCCAAGGAGAGCAATTGTATGCAATTACTTATATTAACAGTACAGCTTCTCTGAATGTTTGTAATGTAGAGTGTCTATGCAAGAGGTTTTCTGATTTTTGAATTGCTGAACTTTATTGCAAACATGCAGGTTGATGGTACTTACTATAAAGATTTTGCAATGTTCATAAGAATTGTTCCAGCCAGCTTAATGTGTCTGAAAACACATAAACTAAGCAGCTTGCTTCTTGAAATGAAAAATGTAAGTGAAACAGAAAGGAAAAAAAAAAAAAAAAAAGGATATTCTGCTGTATTGTGCATTTTATATAAAAATATATGGTAATTCAGAGAAGATACTCCTCTTTCAGCTTTTTAAAATTTTTACACCCATGTTTCAGTGATTGTTGTGACTTAAAGAGCAGGACAACTGGGAGTTCCTTTTCCTTTCAAAGAAGAAAATAACTACTAATGAATATTTAACCAAAACTGAAATAATTACCAATCACATTCTTAGTGTTCCTGATTTTTCTTAGTGTTCATTCTGTGCTGAGATGATGTATATTTTTCATTTCTCTTCTATCCCAGAAGAGGAAGGTAAGAGCTGTTTTGTAGTTGAAATGTTTTTTGAAACATAAGACAGTTATTTATTTTTTTTCTTCTATACCATCCCTTTTGATCTCCAGGACTGGCTGTTGGAAAGCAGCATTTCCACAAATCCCAGAGCCAAAAAATAATTTGCATGGACTGCCTGATGCAAATCCAGAGGTATGTTCTCTTTCTATGTTATATCAAATGTCTAAAATACCTGCAATAAAGTCTTGCATGTGTTTTTTTGTTTGGTCAGTTGGTTGGTTTTTTGGGTTTTTTTGGTTGGTTGGTTGGTTGGTTGGTTTGGTTTTTTGATTATAAGGAACTTAATAGAATAACTCTTCTCTTTGCCATGTTTTGCGGGATTACAAGAGAAAATTAGCAGGCAACTTTGTTAAGGGAAGTCAAATGCCATGTTCTTCCAGAACCAGGGATTTTCTCCCATTTACAGGGTTTCTCCCAGTGCAGGGGCTGATGATCCTGTTGGTAGAACCAGACAGTAGCAAGGGCAGGACGTTTCTGAGTACGAAGCACACACGTGCACAAAACGCACACAGAGAGGACGCCGATGCAGTCAGCAGCAAAGACCACCACAGGTGGATTTGCTGGCACCACATCATCACCAACAGCAGTCATCTAAATAGGGTCACAGAGAGGCCAGTCCTGCTGCTCCTCTCTGGCTGAGCAGGGCTGAAGTTTCCCAGTGAGATGTGCTAATACCCTCATTCCCTGCATCCACAATAACCATAAATTCACAGGTTCCTCATGTCTGATCTCTGTATCTGGATTCTGGGTCCCCCACCAAGTCACTAGCCCTCTCCTTGGTTATCTCCAGACGTAGATTTTCCACTCACCCGGTAGTCTAGCTTCAAAGAAGTTTGCTACCAAATTAGACACACAGGATGGAAAGCAAAATGACACAACAAGCAGTTCAAAATAAGATTTTGTAAGGTAACAGGCCAGATTGCAGTGGTCCTGTGCAGCATTTAACCAGAGCAGTGTACCATTTTCTGGTCCAGCAATTTGTCATATTACATCCAGTAGTTTCTTATCGTCTATCCAATTAGCTAAACTTCAGGTCAATGTGTACTCATCTACTTTCACATCTTAGAGAAGTTAATTCTTTCGTGTTAATTTATTTGAGATGATTTGTGGTAATCTGTGTGACATATAGGAGAAAAGCACATGTTCTACTTGTCCACTTCCCAGGCCAGTCAAAAATCATATGTTGGCATTACAAAGTTGCTGAAATTTCACTGTTATGTGCAGCTAAGGAAAGCTTATCAGCTAAGAAACAAAGTGAAATATTTCTATAAAATATACAGAAGTTGAAATACTCTTGAGTTGTGCACAAGCAGAGGTTAACCTAACCTTGTGTATAAAACTAATGGATGTTCTTATTTTCCTTTCAGCTGATGGAGAGCAGAATTCAGTCAACAGCATCTGAAAATGAAGAGATAATATTAGTTGCTGACATACTGAAATAATCCAGGGTCAGGGCTGCCCCCAGACCTGTAGCAGATGCTCTCTGTTAACCCCCACCCCCAAAGGGGAAGAGAAAGGGAATAAGGGAAACTTATCAATTAAAAAACAGCTTTAATACTACTAATAATAATAGTAAAAATAATAATAAAATGGAATATAGACAAAACCAGAATAGAACCTGACACCCCTCTGATGGCAATATGTCACTGTTGCCCCCAGCTGGAGAGCAGCCCCACGGGGAAAAGCCCCAGGCTGGACTCAGCCACAGACAGCAGCTGGTACAGGAGCTGGGTTCTGGCACTCGGCTCAGGAGCACACAGCTGGGATCAAAGGCAGGATGGATGAAGGCTCCTCGGGCGCCGGGCACTGCAGGAGCAGCAAAAGCAAGGAAGAAGGTGGAAGGGTTTGACCCTCCTGATCCTTCAGCTTTCACACTGAACATGAGGGATATGGGATGGAATAGCCCGTTGGTGAATCTTAGGGTCACTTATCCTGTCTGCTCCTCCCTGCAGGTGTGGCTTTCACTTCCTGCCCCACTCCGTGTGGGACACGAGCCTTAGCAGTGACCTTGGTCTGCACACCAGTCCTTGGCAGTAACCCTAAACATGGAGCGTTATCACTGCTACAGGCAGACACTGCCTGTGAAAACGTGCTGCTAACTTCAGACAAGGCAGTTAATTAGAAGAAGCTTTAGCTGAAAAGTAAAATCACTGAACAGAACCAACTCTGTTCTACCCCAAACCAGGACATCCAGGAAAGCTGAGGAATTTGAAAGAGCATTTTTTAGTTCCTGTGGAAAATCTGGAAAATTATATCAGCTTTTTTCACTTTCTCCCTTTTCTTGACAAAAACAATAGTGAAGCCAAGAGAGAATGATAACCTCATGTGATTTTTTTTTTTTAAATGCCATTGTATTTGCTTTTAATTTTGGCTCAATTTAACTGTTTGGGCAACTTGTCCTTACTGGATATCTTATATTTCGTGAATATGATTGAAATACTTCAGTCAAGAAGTTTTAGTTACATTTTGATATTAAGGGAAAATAGTTTGCCTTATTAAAAAGAATAAGAAAGAATTTATTGAAACTAATAAAAAATTCTTAAAACAATCTATTGCTGCATGCCAGTGTTCTGCTGCCATGGCCTTTTCACACTTGAAGGGAAAAGGAATGGTCTGGTGAGAACTTTTGCCCTTTCTAGGGTTCAGACATTTCCAATAACATTTACAGTTCCTAATATGAGGTGAGATACAGCTGGAGGATAATCTGAGGAGGCCTAGATTCTTCTGAGCATTGGAGGGTTCTCAGACTTATGAAGACATATCCTATCTGCACAAGACAACAACTACAACAGGCACATTGGATTTGGACCAAATGTGCTTTCCTCTTTAATTTTCTATGGGAAGTGTATGCCCAACCTCTGCTCTTACAGGTTCACTTGTGGAAAACATGTGCTACATCAAAGGTTTTCAGAATATTTCTTTCTGTTGTTGGTCATGGGTGTCTGATGTGACCTTACCTTGCCATAAATTCTTTTCTATGGATGGAGCCCTTCTGACATAAGTAGTAACAGCCCTTTCAGATAAGTGATAAACATAAGGGAACCATTTTTAGAGAGATCTGGTTAGGGATATGTTCTGGAATGTTGTTCCCCATGTAGGCTCAGTTAGGCTATTTTCCTAGATGCCTGAGAGACCTAAGGTTTACTTTGCCATATTTCAAATTCAAAATCATGTTCTGCAGGAGAGGTCCTGCGCTATTGTTGTTGGTTAGAGGGCTGTAAAAGCCCTGTTGCTTGTTTTCTCTGCTTAGAGCAGTAGTCTCTAAATGTGGCAGGCTTGAGAGGTTTTGTCACTAAATGTTGGATTTAGCTGAATATTGCAGTCAATCTCTCTCAGCATGTGAAGAGCTGGGGTTTAAATCCCCAGCCCTGAATGAAGTTTGGCATATGACTGAGGTCCACAATGAGGCAGGAAAGCCTTTCCTGACTGGTTTTCACCCAGGGCCTGGCCAGCCTTAGGTAGGAACCAATTAGGAGAGCACCACCAGGTGCCCCTCCCTTAGCTTTAACATCAGGTGTCCTGCTTCTAAAGTTAACAGCATAAAGGCTGGTTCTGCCTTTGGTTTTTGGGGAGGGGGTGTTATTTATGTAGTGAATAGAGTATGTAGGAGTTCTGGTTACTGGAAGGGTCCCTCAGCTGTCTGTTGTCTCAGTGATGGTGGGGCACCAATGTGGCTGGGAATGGAGGGGGAAATACATTTGTAATACTGGCACTGCTTTATGGTTATGCAATTGGAATTGGACTGGTCACCTGGATCCTTGGTTGGTGTTGTGGTTTGAGGCTTGGAATGGGGGCGTGACCTTCCAGCAACTGGGAGGACCCCGGGTGGGGGTGAAACCATTGTATTCCCTCCCCTTCCCACACACACTCTGATAAGAGGCAGGGAGTGGTTTTTTGTTTCACTCCACTGAGGTCCACAATGAGGCAGGAAAGCCTTTCCTGACTGGTTTTCACCCAGGGCCTGGCCAGCCTTAGGTAGGAACCAATTAGGAGAGCACCACCAGGTGCCCCTCCCTTAGCTTTAACATCAGGTGTCCTGCTTCTAAAGTTAACAGCATAAAGGCTGGTTCTGCCTTTGGTTTTTGGGGAGGGGGTGTTATTTATGTAGTGAATAGAGTATGTAGGAGTTCTGGTTACTGGAAGGGTCCCTCAGCTGTCTGTTGTCTCAGTGATGGTGGGGCACCAATGTGGCTGGGAATGGAGGGGGAAATATATCTGTAATACTGGCACCGCTTTATGGTTATGCAATTGGAATTGGACTGGTCACCTGGATCCTTGGTTGGTTTGCTGCTGTCTTCACTTCATCTTGTACTGTGAGTGAATATATCAACCTTTTTATTCCTCTGGTGGTTGGCCAGCTCATATCCCTCATGTATGATTTGGAATTGGGGGGATATGACCTGTATGTTGCTTATTGATGATATTATTCCTATTGCGGTATGCAGAAGAGCATGTTGAAGAAAACTGTAATCATTCAAGCCCTTAATCTTTTCCTCTCTTCCTAATAACACCAGGCTGAGTTCTGCTAACACTTTTATTAACTTACAAGTGGTTACTCTTTCCAGTGCTAGATTGCTATGTTTCTTTACACTCTTGCTTTGCTGCATCCCTACACTGAATTGCTCATGCAATTTATCAGCCAAAGTGGTTTTAGAAGAGATTCTGTCCTGCTGGTGATGCCTTCCCTGTTGCAGAGGATAGGTGGAGTTCTGTCATGCTCAGGTAAAGCATTTTTAGACTAGACAGAAAGATCTTTGTAAATTTATCATACAACAACAGCAATATACAGGGGCATAAAGTGTTTAACCATGCAGTCTAGGACTTTAGCATGTTAAGATTTTTCTTCATCACGGATGTAATGAGCAGACAACATATGCTCTTGTAAGAGCTAAGTAGTCAGCAATGACCATGTGGTCAGCAGAGAAGACAAGAGGAAATAACCTCATCTACTGAGGTGTCTCCTCATACCCTTGACAGAGATCAGCAACAAACTATGTTACTGGTATAACTTGACGTCTAGGCTTTTTCACTTGAGAAAGAAGCATGTTCCACCAAGGAAGTCAGATTCTGAGGAGGTAATAGCAGAGTACAGACAAAGCTTCCATATTTGGTTAAAGTCTAATTCCAAACAAGACTCAGCCTTGATCTGGAGTTATAACAAAGGTTTATTATCATCTGACTCTCCAGTTTGGATGGTTAGTCACTGAACCACCTACTTGCTCCTACCCGAGGATGTTACACCATGACTTCTAAGGTGGTCTTAAGACGATGTTACACAGGAAGCTCACCATGACTTCTAAGGTGGTCTTAAGACCCAAAGAGAAAATGCTCAGAAATTTCTCCCCTTAACAGGATTAGCCTTTGAGAACTTTCATTCACAAGAAAAAGAACTTAATCTTCTGGGTAGCCCCACTGATTATGATAACTCATACCTTATTGCTCCTTTTGGTGTCTGAGATTCAGATTTTGAGGGTCTCAGTGTTTTTTCATAACTGAGTGAGGAATGAGTGGCACATCAGGCTTATGCTTTGGTGTAAAATTGCTTTTCACTTTGAGACTCAAAGCCTCATATTTCTATACTAGGTGTTTGAACATAGCTATTTAATTTTTAGACCATTTTGATAATGATACTAGGCACTTGATTATTAGACTATTCCTAGAACTTTCTTGCACTGAGGCAAATTGCCTTGTAAGACCTCAGACTAATTTTATTAAACCTCTAAATAAGGTGAACATGTGCAAATTACCTTTAGAAATTAGCCCTGACCTGAGCTAACCTCTGGACTGTGTCCAGGAGTTGTTCAGGACATTGCTTGCAAATCCTGGCCAAACCAAAGCTGGGAACAGTTGTTCCTGGACACGTTCCAGCACTGGGGAGCTTTCCAGTTGCCAGTGCAGCCAGAAGCCCTTCCCCACGCTGTCCAGCTTATACTGAAGCTGGATGCAAACAGCTCTTGGCACATCTACTGCCTTTGACAAAGTTAATGATTGCCTTTGGGTCAAAACTCACCTGGAAAGGTTTTTGAGCCTGAGTTCATCCTGGACACATATGTAAACTATCTTTGTTTTCTCTCAGTATACAGCAGCAGCCAGTGTTGAAACGCTCACAGTCATTTGCTAAAAGAGTGATGAGGTTGTACTAGACTACATTACTTCATACAATCTTCCACAATATACTTCTCCTTGGGCAAAACTGACAGAGTGATGTAGTTTGGCTATAATCCACCAAAACCTAGCAATGAGCTATAACCACTCATTGGCTCTCTGGAGGGAAGGGAACAGGAAAGTGTAACAAAGTATCAAGACACTCAGGGGATGCCATTATGATCTTGTTAAACAAAATCCTCCTTTGTTTCCTGTTTTCTCCTGGAAAGGCATAACATACTTCCCATGCTCAAACAAAGGCCAAAAGTTCAACCTAGAGAACCGCAAGCCTATAAAC